GCTAGCCATTCCCACAGTGATACATAGTCTTTAGAAATGAGTTCATGGAACCTTAAGAGACTAACAAAAATATCTAGAATTGTGAGCTTTCATGGGTAAACCCCACTTCATCAGATGAACTGGAGTGGAAATAACAGAAACCAAGATAACATATATGTAACAGCAGAAGACATAGACTTTATGTGTCCCGTATAGCGTTTTTGGTGTGGACATACAGAAGTTAAAGATGTTTAGAAGTGAACCTCTTTGCACCATCCAGGTGCTTTATTGCATCTGTATCAGAAATCTAATTGGGAACGGGGTGATAAAGGTTGACTGAAATCTTCAGAGAGATTATCTCTGAGTAGTTGGAATTCTTGAGCAACTTGCAGGAAGGGTGCCTGATTGCTAAGTCTGTCTAAAAGAACTTATATTAGGATACTGCTGCTGGTTATTCATATAAACTTTCAATCTCTGATTTTTGGGGAGACTTTCTGGTTCTCAAGTTACATAAAATATTGCCTCCAACAGCCTTAGCCTATATTCATCTTTCAAGAAAAGTAGAATTATCTTATTAAAGAATCTGTTACAATAGATGTATATTAGTGTACAGTCTTTAATAGTGCAGTGGGAAGAACAGGAAGGGAGAGGGATAGACAGAAATCTTCTCTAATCCTAAAGGGGTTTTAAAGTTCAATTCATGAGTATTTGACAGAATCCAGTGGAACCCAGTGTGCCATCTGTTTCTTCAACTTTATCTCTATTTTGCTTTTTAATTAAAACAAAACAAAACAAAACAAAACCAAAAAAACTCTCTAGGCTCACAGTAGAAATACAGTTTTTTGCTGCCTAGCACTTCAGTTCAGGAAAGCATTTAAGTCCTGTATGGAATAGTGATGCTTTTATGTTAATAATTAGCTCCACGACTTTTCCTGTGTAATTACTGCACTTTTAAAGACAACAAAAGAACTGGAACTTTTATGTTTGTATTTGTAGACACTCCATGTACAAATTATAAATACTTCAGCACTGATCCAATAAAGCACTCAAACAAGTTTCGTTATGGCACTATATAGCATTATTTTGGTTTATACTGCATCCACTGAACCATGTATTATTTGTCTATTTAATTTTTCCTTGAAATCCTCTCAAAGAATCCCTGCAATGCTACTTCCAGATTATCCCAATGTACATATAAAGTTTCAATATGGCTTAACATCTCAGTATTTAAGTAGTAAAGGAAGAAGATAAGGCTTTGTAAACATCCCAGCACTACCATAAGCAGACACTCAAACCAGTAAGCTGATAACTTATTGATAACCAAGTTGGGTGAGGTAATGTCTTCTATTGGACCAATTTCTGTTGGTGAGACAAGCTTTCCAGATACACAGAGGTCTCCGTCATTTATGGGAAAGGTACTCAAGGTGTCACAGCTAAATACAAGATCGAACGATCATAATAGACCTATTATGATCTCATCTGCCATGTCAAAATGTTAGGGTGGAGACACTCCCATGAGAACAATGGATATGTTATAATCTCAAATCAGTCCCTCATCTCTGACCCCACAATCGGCCCGCTGGTATTGACCTCCCCCGTTACCAATGGTCCCTGTTGAACTGGTTCCAGAACAAGCAAGGGCTCTGTGCAGCCCTGCCATATTGCTGGGGCCTTCGTGACTGCCCTTTGTGCAGCTGTGGTTCAACAGACGATGACGCACATTGTTGATGAACGCTCGCTGTCTAGGTGCAGCCATGGTCTAGAACTGCATTATGCCACTGGAGATGCCATCGTTTGGCTAGAGGACTATCCACACATTAAATGAATAACATGGAACAGATAGTTTAAGCAGCTAGCACATATTCTAAAGGACCATTCAAGGTAAAGCATTCCATTAACACGCCTGTAGTCCTATGACAAAAAGGAGGGTTAGTAAGTTTCAGAATAATCTGATGAATGACCAAACTCTTCCCCCCCATCATCTGTAGAGAACACTTTTCACAAAGTAGTCAATCTATATCTGACCTCTCAGTCCTCATATTCAACAGAAACCTGTACAACACACTGACTGAAAATACAAGCCTGGGAGCTTAAATTCGTAACGTTGCGAGACCCTAAAAAATCAAGGTCTTAATAGACACTGTATTTATATTTATTACAACATTCTGTAACCCTCTAACCCCCCTTTCAGTCCTATGACTACTGACATATTAAGGGGAGACTTCACCTTGAATGGTCAGTTAGAATGTCCTAATTACTTATGCTAAATTATCTATTCAACCTTTCATTTAGCTGTCATACTCAGATTACCTTTTCCAGACATGAGATAGGCTTGTCTCTCTCACCAGCAGAAGTTGGTCTAATAAAAGATACTACCTCACCCACCATGTCTAATACCCTGCAATTGACAGCTCCAACACCACATACCTATTACTGAGAACCACGCATTTGTAAATACTGTCTTAAAGAGTGTCTAATTGATAGCACTTCTATATCAGTCTTCTAGATTGCTCAATTGTTTATGGACTTAACAGGATTTAAATACTTCTCTTTACAACATTTACTCCCAAAGCCCTTGTATAAAAACCAATAGGTGGAACTGAACCTGGGACCTCTGGAGCTTAGTGCATGAGCTGCTACCACATGAGCTAAAAGCCAGCTGCCTCTCTTAGTTCAGGCTATAGAGCCAACTGATTATTCTCTCTGTATGTGGTCTCAGTGCCATTAGATGTGACAGTACACCACACCCAAATGTGAGTTACACTTGCATGAAACAAGACATGCAATTAATCAACTAATCGATTGGTCCATGGAATTTCCATCGACTAGTCAATTAGTTGATAAGCGGGGGAGCCAAGGTGGGGTTAGCTCCCGGCCCCAGGAGCTAACCTCACTGCGGTTCTGCCTTTTAAATGTATTAAGAGCCAGCGAGCTCTTAATTCATTAAAAAAGTTGAAGTGCAGCCTGGGGGACCCGGCGCAAGCTGGGACAGCTTATTCCCAGCTCACAATGGGTTCCCCCTCCCGTGCTTCTACTTTTTAAATGTCATTTTTAAGCTGGCTTCCACTCCCAGAGGGACTAATCGACTATCTGATAAACTTATGCTAGTCTAGTCGCTTACATCCCTAACTTCCAGTACTAAATGATCTTATTTTTCTATTAGGGGTTTTTTTTTTTTTGCATAAAGAATATTTATATGCTCTGTTACAGTTGTATACATTTCGAAAAGAAACATAAGTACCATTTAGAATGTAGTGGTCCAAGAGTAATTTTAACATACCAGCTGAATGAGTTTGTTTCAGAAATATATTATTTTCTTTCTGAAAGTTTCCTTATGTCTGAAAAAATAAGCTATTGAGTACCTATTCCTGTTAGAAGTATTTTTAAGTCATTCACTACTAAAGTTTGGAGAAAAGATTAATTGAAACTATTAGTCAAGTTCATCAGGATAAGTTGTAAGGAAGCATTATTTAACTGCTTTAGACCAATATATTAAAATAAAACCAAAAGATAATAAAATCAAAGCAATACCTAGCAGTTGCAGGAAAGCACACTGTAAAATACAGTGAAACTTTCTTACAGTAAAGTGGTCTCCCCCTACCCTCCAGAACTTCTCAGAGTGGACCAGATCCTGCATCGGGATTGTTCATGTACTGGTTCACTGACTTTACTAAACAAAAATGCAGGTATACGGGCCTGCAGAATCACAACTGTAGTTGGCATGTTGCAATGCATTGGAACAACCTAAGAGTTTCATTCTGCTTGAACTTTCATTATTTAATGGAATAATGCATTCATTAGTCACTATTTAGTAAGGCTTTTGATACCGTCTTACATGACCTCATAAGCAAATTAGGGAAACGTAGCCTGGACAAACCTACTATAAAGTATGTGCAAACTGTACTCAGAAAGAAGTTGTTAATGGTTTACAGTTACGATCAAAGGGCATATTGAGTGAGGATCTGTAGGGATCTGTGCCGAACGTGGTTCTATTTAATATCTTCAAGAATGAGTTAGGAAAAGGCAATGAGAGTATAGTCAAAGTCTGCAAATGATACAAAGCCAGGACGGGTCACAAAGTACTTTGCAGGACAGGATTAGACTTCAAAATTATGTTGACAAATTGGAGAAATAATCTGAAATAAATAGGATGAAATCAATAAGGACAAATTCAAAAGTATTTCACTTCAGAAGGAATAATCAATTGCACCAATACAAAATGGGAAATGATTGTTTAGGAAGAAGTACTGTAGAAAAAGATTCTGGGGCTTATAATGGATCACAAACTGAATATAAATCAATAATACAATACTGTGGCAAAAAAACCAAGCATCATTCTGTAATGTATTAGCCAGAAGGAAGATACAAGACACAATCTTTCCACTCAGCATTCATAAGACTCCAATTCTGGGCACCTCACTTCAAGAAAGATGTGGGAAAATTGGAGATAATCCAGAGAACAACACTAACGTCTAGGAAACATGACCTATGGGGAAAGACTGAAAAAATGGGTTTGCTTAGTCTGGAAAAGAGAAGACCGAGGGGGGTGGGGGGGAGGTAAGATAGCTGTCTTCAAATAGGCAAATCATAAAGATAGGAGTGATAAATTGTTCTCCTTATCCAATGAAGACAAGTAGTAGGCTTAAATTACAGCAAGGGCGATTCTGATTAGACATTAGGTAAAACTTTCTGTCAGGGTAGTTAAGCACTGGAACAAATTACTTACGGAAGTGGTGGCATCTCTATCATTGAAGGTTGTTAAAACAAACCCCTTTTAGGGATAGTCTTGGAGACAATACTCAGCCTTGCCTCAGTGCAGGGGACTGGACTAGAGGACCTACCAAAGGCCCTTCCAGTCCTACATTTTCATAGTTCTATATCTCAAATCATTTTAAAGTAGGTTTCGTATCCAGCCAATGTACAAAACTGCTGAAAAATACATCAATATTTGGAATGAGATCCAAGCTATGAGTCAGTTTAATCGCATAAGCAAGAATGGCACACCAATGAAGAACACGACATAAGTAAAACACTAAGACTTTATTAAAAATCCAAAATTTATTGCAAATTGTACTTTGCTTCCCTCCTTTCTTCATTTTTACATGATTTATTGATATCCATGATTTTTTCACAGATGTACTTGTTGACTTTGGAGAGTCTCTGTGCAATTTCAGTTTCATCCCCAGTTTCTTGTGCTATTCTGTCATACAAACATTCTGGGGAGAAAAAGAAGAAAACAGCAATTATGATTAAGAAAAGAATTTAGCCCTGTTCTGTAAGTCAGTACAGCAAATAAAACATGCTCACAGAACTATAGAGCCAACACTTCATAAGCAACTTGTATTTATGTTAAACTTAGTATTCTATTGTACAAATGGGTTCTCTGATTCATTCGTTTGATTCCCTTTATCCAGCACAAGTTTAGGCTTGCCATATTTGAATCTGTCAGGCATAAGAAGTTCACAAGTTAGGATGACATTGCACTGGCCTCATGAGTAGAAATGGGGGTAGAGCGAAACTCATATGGTTTCACTCCTACCCCCTCTGTTGGCAATGCCAACCGTAACCCCTTCATTTGTCCACATCTCCCAGAACAGTCTTAGAGCTTTCTTCCAGATGACATGGAACAACCCTAATGAAGATGATATGCCAGGACACTACCCTTTCCTCCTTCAAGTGACTTCTACCATCACACTTACAAGACATTAGCCTTAGCCAAATAAGTAAGGAAGAGAGGCAGAAGGAGATAGGGGGCATTTCATATTTAAAAAAATATATTATATAATATACATTAATATGGCTATATCTTGATTATATGTCTCTTCCCAACTATTTGTATTTGCTTGGTTTACTAGACTGGAGTGGAGACCACCTTGCTTTGGTTTTGTACAGTACTTTGCATACTGTGTGCTCTGCCCCACTGGAATATAAATACAAAATAATTAATAAAACTAATAATAAAACTAATCAATGAGGTCTGTGGGAGATAAGACCACTCCCGCCCACCATGACAATTGGCAAGTTGCAGGATCTAATCTACTTTTTTGTAATTAAGAGAGGTGGCACTCTACACTTTCAGCTCTTTAAAATCAGGTGTGCCTTTTGTTTTATACCTGAAATAGCCTCTATTGTTGTGTAGGCTGCTAGTAATAAATTGCTTCCCAGATTGATTAAACAATCTCTGCTTTGCTTCGCCTATTAATCAATTTTAGCAACCATTTTATTGTTTCATATACTAGAAAGCTATAGAGATTATTGCTTAATTAACAAGTTTTATATCATTGCTAATGCATCATATTAAAATGTTATGAAAATTAAGTATTATGCATGCTTTGTAGTTCATTCTGAAGCTGCTCAGAAGTTTTATAAATGATTATATTTTGCATTAACAAGGTTTGTGCATCAGACTTTTTATAACTTCTGTATAATATGCTACAGATTAGAGATTTTTAAGCATCAAGAGAGATTAGCCACATTAACAGCTAATTCTATCTTTCTAAAATGTATTTGACACAACCTATACTGAGACTAGAAAATGGCGAAAGTATCTGACAACGTGAATTTCATGGACTCTCTATTGGAAAATGTATTGACTATTATAAAATAAATAAAATAAAACCAATTAGCAGGCAGACTGATAGCCGGGACACCAATATGAGGTAAATTATTATTTGAAATAATTCCCCTATTGTTAGCTGCATTAACTGAAACACGGACAGACTCGTGCACAAGACAGAATATTACATCACTACAGAAACCTCAGTAATATACTACTTAACTATTAGTAATAAATAGGAGGTATCAAACCAAGTGACCTGCCACATAAATGCAGACAATTACCATACCCTGAGCAAGGGCTGAAATATGAGTTGTATCAATTCAGAATTTTGCCTAGGAGCCACTATGACTCATACATACCCAGTGAGTCACTATTCCTCCTCTGTTTCCTTCTCCTCTGCCCCCCAGAGGGCTACCAGGGGCAGTAATTTACTGTTGGTTTAGCTACTGACCCAGGAGCTGGTTTCCCCCTGTTCCTGGCCATCCAGCTATATGGAGGAAGTAAGTAGACAAGAAGCCCTACTGTCTCCAATGTAACTGGACCTGAGATTTAGGAAGTCTGCACAGATGTGCAAGAGATAGTCGCACTCCTTTG